TTACAAAAATTTTATATATTATAATCAAAGAAAATATTTAATAATTAAGATTTTTAAATATTTTTGAATTAACTAATTTTTTTATGTTTTTAATATATTTTATCTTATCTATCTTATTTAAATATATCTTGGATATTTTTATTCATTTATTGAGTTAAATTTTTAATTTTTTTATACTCTAATTCTAAATTAATATGATTAAAATAAATTTAGTTTTCTGAAAATATGATTTTTTTTCATATATTATTATTATTGCTATCTTACAATTAAAGAAAAGTTTTATTATTTAATAATATTAGAGTTTTTGAATTTATTATTTAAACTTTTTTTAGATTAAAAAAATAAAAATTGAAACATAATTAAAAATAAAAAAATATATACTTTATCTTTTACTTTTTTAATTATTTTTATTTATGTTTTAATTTCTTTTATCAATTGCAAATAATCTATTATTAATTTTATTTTAATGTCTCTTTAATGATTTTCAAGTATTTTTATAAATTTAATTTATACTTTTGCGTTATAGTAAGATATAATTAATAAATTTGTTTGAGTTTTTTCAAATTAAAATTATTTGTGTTTTAAATTTCTCAATTTATTTCCCATTATTATTTTTAAACTTATAAATTGACTAAGTTTTATTATTTTTGATCTTATTGATTCATCACTACTTCTATTAAATAACATTATTATTCATTCAATTTTAATTTTTTATTAAAATTAACTCGTTTTAAAATTATGTATATTATTTTCATTAAAAATAAAATATTGAAAATTCGGATTTATAAAATAAAAAAATTAAATAACTTTAAATATATATTTGGTTTAAATAATATTTTATTAAAATTTATTATAATTTATATATTAAATTTATTCATAAATATGCTCTTAATATTGCAAATGTGCTTAATCCAATAGCAATTAATGTTAAAATAAGTTTTAATAAACATTTTTTATTACAAAATTTACTCTAATTTTAATAATTATTTTAATTTTCTATTAAACTAATGTAACTTTAGTCGCTTTATATATCATTATTATTTTATTATTATAATATATCAGCATTATTATTATCTATATTTTCTTGATTTGTATTTTTATCCTAAAATAAATTATTTTAATTTTATTTCATTTATTTTTTTTATTGCAAACTGTTTATATTTTATATATTTTCATTTGGAGTTTTTTACTTTATTTTTTCTAATTTAAGGCAAGTTTATTAAGATTTTGATTTATCTAAAATTTCGCTAATTTCAAATAACTTTTTATTTTTTTCTAAATATTGTATTAACGGTAATATAAAATATTTTTTTTATTTACATTAAATAGATTATTCTAAAAATAATATGTTTTATAAATCTTTGCTTTTTTCTAAATTTGGACTTTAAAATTAGCTCATTTCTTTCATACTAAATTATTTATTTGTTAATTTATCATATTAATTGATATTGCTATATTCATTATTAAGAGAATCTATCTCAACATAAAGTATTTAATCATATTATTAATTTTAACTACTATTAGAAGCATTTAATTAGCTGAATTTATTAGCATTAAAATCAAATTGACTTTTTTCTTATACGATTAATTTATCTTCTTATAACTTTGAAGATTCAAACTAAGTTTAATTATTGTTAGAGTCTTCTAAATAAACATTTAACGGTGCTTAAAATCCTATTGCTGTTTTGAATGCTTATTTATATGATTATCTCCTGTTAACTTATTTTATTTAATTATTCAGGTTTTTTATATCTTCTTCTATCATTTATTACTAGGTTTTTTTTAATTTTTCTAATATCTTTATTTTTAATAATATAATGAGCTTTTTTTTTGTATTTACATTTATAAATTCGTTATTTAATTTCCTTATGGCTGTTTTATTAATTTTTAATGTAATTTATTAATTTAAACAATCTTATAGTTTTTTAGATTCATCAAATGTTTCATCAAATTACTATTTGTATGATATATTTTTAGTTTTCTTTTTTAATTTTCTTTTTTTGTTTTGGTTTTACAATATAGAAGTTTTTTGATAATGAAACTTTATTTTATTAAAATTGGCCTTTTTTTATTTTAAATATGTTTTTTAATATATTTTTTTAATATTTTACTATATTAATCTAGTAGTTATTTAGCTGTAAAAGAAAATTTTTAAAGTTTTTACTGAATTTCCTATATATTAATTTACATTATATTTTTTTTGAATTTTAATTTTGATTTAATTTTACAATATTTTTTTTTATGCAAATCAAAAATAATTTTATTGTAAATATAATATAAAAAAAATAAATAAAAATTTAATGTATTAATAATAGTTTTTTGAAAATATATAGGCATAATATAAAATTTATATATTTCCTTTAAATTAATAATGAATAATAATACAAATATATTATAAATATAAATTAAAATATTTATAAAAATACATTCATTGAAAAATTAAAAAATAGATATAAAAAATACTATTAAATAAATAAAATAATAAATGAATTCTCTTTAATATTTATTTGGTTTTAAAATCAAAAATCCTAGAAAAAAAATGATAGCTTTTTCAACATTTTTTGGTTCAGTGATTGGATATAAAATTGGTTAATTAAAAAGTATTAATATTGAAAATAGAGAATAGTATTTAACTGAATATAAAGGAGAAGATTGGTTACATGCATAAATAATGAAAAAAGAAAAGCCTTATCTTATATTTTATTTTGTTCCAGGTGACCATTATGGGATATATTTTAGAAAATATTTCTTAAATGGCGCAGCATTATATCATGATTAATGTAATTTTGTTATAGTTAATTGTGCATAATTTTATTACTAACTTAAAAATATGGAAATGGAAAGAATGCCTTTAATACATTTGATAAAACCACCTAAAAATGACTAATAAAAACCTGAAATAATAATTTATTCTAAAGATTTTTCTGATTATGGAGTAAAATGTTTTTTGGAAGTATTTAAAAAAAAAATATTTTCTTATAAAAATTAAAGATAATATATTTTTTTTTAATTAATTATATATTAAATTTAGGAAAATTGTGTATTAGAATATAATCCTCCAAGTACTGGATTAATGAATTTATATACTGATATAATATCTCGTTTAATTTGATTTTTTTAATTTTATCTATATACTATTATCATACTGATACTGAAGATTGTATAATTGATAAATTTAAATATAATGTATAATAAATTTTACTTGAAACATTTTTTATAGTGAAAATATTTCAGAATAAAATAATTTTATATTTAATTTTTTTATTTTGTTGTTAGTTATAAAGTGGGTATATTAAATTTTTATAAAAATCCACTAATTATATTTTAAAAATATGATTTCGGAAGCCATTTTAAATAAAATTTAATTATTCAGATTAAGCCATATCTATAATCAATTTAAATACATAATAATTTATACTATAATTCGGGTAAAAATATCTCAATTTATATAAAAAAAAATACTTTTATCAAGATATTTTATTTATATATTTCTAATATTTACTTATATAAATTATAGAATTTTAATTGATGATTAATATTTAAGAAATTATTCTAATAAATTATATATTTTTATCGAATTAAATTTATTAATTAATAAATTATTTAGATTTTATATCAATAAAAATAACTTTTTTTTAAAATAAATAATATTTAATTTAAAATTAATTAATTTATTTAAAAAAAAAAAACAACAATAATAAAAAGAAAAATGTCTGAACCAAAAATTGACATTTTCTAATTATAGAGACTTTCAAGCCTAATAACTTAAGATTGTAAATTAATAATTTTTTTTTAATTTAATATTGTAATTATCAGAATAGAAAAGAGATTCATTTAATAGACCAAATGAAAATGAAAGTTACATTACTTGATATTTTAAAAAAAAAAAAAATATAAAAAAAAGAATCAGATGAAAATAAGACTAAGTTTGATAAAGACATAAATAATTGTATGAAAGAAAGTAAATATTCAGATGAAGAAACAAAGGAAAATTAAAATAATAGAAACATTCCAGAATAATGTAATAGATCAAATTCGCGTAATAAACCTAAATCAATAGATTAAACCTAAAGAGCTTATGAATATTATAAATAAGACAAAAAGTATAAAGAATAAATATATCTAGGTTAACAAGATATGAACTTTACTTTATCAAAAAGACAATAGAAAATTGAAAACTAAATAAAACATATTACAAATGAATTAAATAAAGTATCATAAAATTTACATAAATCTGAATATTAAGAATATGATCATGAACATTATTAATTATTATTTTAAGATATAAAAGCAGAAAATTAACTTTTAAAAAAATAATTATAAGCAATTTAAATAGCAAAAGAAGTAAAAAATTTACAAAATATAAAATAAAAAATAAAAAAAGACTGTTCCATAAAAAAACAAAGGAAAAAAAAATTATGGAAAACAATAGAAGGAGTAGAAACACATGAAATAAAAGACAGAAAAAAATTTTCTGATTTACTAAAGTTAGTCGACTTATTAAAAAAATAATTGAAAGAAACTGAAGAATAAAACAGAAAACTACAATCCTAAAATAATACTAATAGACCTTCAAGCAATTTAAAAAACGCATTACAAACACTTCCTGAAAATTAAAATTCTAATATAAAGTTGACTAGTTTATAAGCTAAAAATGATGAACTTTATGGACATTATAATAATTTGAAAAATTAGTTGAAAACTTCTATTTAATAAAACTAAACTTTGAATCAAGAACTTAGGGAATGGAAAGAAAAGGCTAATAACCTAAGTAGGGAAAACAGAATGCTTTAATTGGGCTTTTAAAGTGCAGAAGAATACCAAAAACAAATAATTGATTTAAAAAAATAACGAGATCAGACTGAAAATAGATTAAAAGAATTACTTTCGAGTCCTTTCTTTAAAGAACATGGAGAAAAGGCCTTAAAATATGTGAAAATATAAGAACTAGAAGAAGAAAATCTCAAATTTTCAGAAGAAAACAAAAGTTTGAATCAAAGAGTAAATGAGTTAAGAAAAGAGGTCGAAAGATTGGAAAATTAAATAGATAATTTGAAATAAGAAGTTGAATTTTTAAGAGATGAAAATGATGAGTTAAAAATAGAACTTACTTCTTAAGCTAACAAATTCGGGCCTTTATAATAATTATAATAAATGGATCATAAAACCTATTTAAAAACATTAGGTGAAATCACTATGAATTCACATAAATTAAAGATTTAAGGACTAGATGAACTTTTAGAAAATAATTAAGATGAAAAAAATTAAGTTTATGTAAAAAATCTTTAATAAGAAATAGAATAGTTAAAAAGAGATAAAGGAGAAATTGCTGTGCATTTAGAAAAAATTTAAACCATGCTTAAAATTTAAATGGATATTACTCAAGAAAAAGAAAGTATACATAAAGCTGAAAAGGAAGCTTTTGAATTAAAATACAATGCACTCCTTAGTTAAGCTTAAGAGTTAGCTTAAATCTCTGATATGAAAGGTATTTATTTTTATTTTATTAGATTATTTTTTAAATATATATTTTTTTAATAAAAAAGGATTTCTTAAAGGAGATGTTGGGATTTAATAATAACAAGAAAAATAAAAAGTATATAAAAAAACAATGTTCAATATACTGATAATGTTTCTGTTTTTTCAGATGATGAAGAAGAAGAAAATTAAACTGATAAACGTAAAAAGAAACTATATTTTAAAAAATATAATTTAAAAAAAAGAAAATGGTTGTAATTACTTTGACTTTTGGATAGGATTATGCTAAATATACTAAGGAAATCTATTTGCCATTACAAATGGTAAAATATCAGAAAATGAGGAAATTTTAGTCTTTTCAACGGTAGATTTTTATGATCATGATATTTAAACAACTCCAATAAGCTAGGCCAAAAACCAAACATATTTTAACTTTTAATGCTCTTATAAAATAACAACTAAAGACGATTTCTTATTGTATTTAAGTACTGGGTCGATAAAAATAGAACTATATGCCGCAGTTGGAAAAGATGCTTTATTATTAGGCTCAGTAGAAGTTCCTCTTCTATATTTATTTTAGAATAACCGATAAGAATGTATTTCAGCGGTTTTAAACTAAAAATGTTAACTTAATTTTGCTGAAACAATAATAGGATAAATAGAAATCAAAGCCAGATTAAGGTATCCAATTTCAAACTAAATAAAATTATTCGTTTAGAAAAACTCTACATAAGATAAAGAATTAGAAGAGCAAAAAGATTTGGCTTTGGAAGAATATGAAGACAACAAAGATCAAAGTACTAAAAGAAAGTTAGTAGTAATAATAGATAAAGCTTAAGGCTTCAATGAAAAATCATCCACCTTTATATATTATTAAATTTAAAATAAAGACTATTATACAAAATCAGTTCCTGGGTCTTAACCTAAATATGATCATCATTAAATACATGATATTTGCCATTTAGATAAATTTAAAAACATCTTAAATAAAGTTCCTTTAGAATTTGTAGTCTTTGATGATTTTGCTCCTTTAACAAACGAATACGAATAACATGATATCGTAGGAATAGCTAGTACTAAATTGGATGGATTAAATTCTAATTTAATTATTGATACTGTCCTTACTATTTATAATGATAAAAAAATTAAAGTAGGGCTTCTCTACATTAAAGTTTTTTGGTATGAATATTAAGATTAAATTTAAATTAGTTCCAAATTTGGATAAGGCCTGTTAGCCAAGCAATGGGAAAAAGACTTTACCCTTAAACTTGCTAAAACTTTAAAAAATAGGTAGCTTAATACAAATAATGGATTCATGATATTCGATAGAAATAATGATAAAATTATTTCAAAAGAAGAATTCTTAAATACTTGTCTTGGAACTTTAAATATGGTCGAATTTAATAGGTTAAATTTTATTTATTTTATTTTTATAAATATATATTTATAGAGATGAAGTTTTATATTATTACAGTAAATAAAAGTAACCTTTTGATAAAATTGCTTTTGAATAATTATTACGTCCTTATATGTTAGATGATATAAGCAAATTAAAATATTTAGAAGAAATTTCTATTTTACAAAAAGCAGCTTAAAATAATGAAGAAGAAAATAAAGAATAATATGCAGCGTAAGAAAGGTTAAAGAATAATGAAAATTAATAATAAGAAAGAATGAATTAAATGCAGTCTATTAAAGAATTAAATAACATTTTGAATGATAATACTAAATAAATGACTACGTAAAAAGATGAAGTTTTAAGAGAAATGATCGGAATTATGATAGTTTCTGAAATGAAGAAAAAAGCGCGCTCGAAGTTTTTGCAGAAATTGATAAAAATAAAGATGAAGAAATCGATACAAAAGAATTAACCAAATATTTATTAAAATAAAATATTTCAGCTTCCCAAGAAGAAATTTTCCGCTTTTTGTCAACAATAGATGCAAATAAAAATAATAAAGTAGATATTTTGGAATTTATTAATTATGTTTCTAGAGAAAATATGACTAAAATACTTTATATGTAAAAATACCCGAAAAAAGAAAGCATATCTTAACCATATTCAGACGAATAAATTATTTATGAAATCGAAGAAAAAATTTTCTATTATATGAAATAGAAAAAAATAAAAATTCTCAAATTACATGAAAATATGGACTTAAAGAAAAAAAATTCTATTGGAAAAAAAGAATTCAAAGACTTCTTTATTTAAGAGATTGGTATTGAACTTACTTCTAGAGACTTAAATGTTGTTTTTAATAAATTTGATTAAGATGGCGATGGTGTGATTTCAGTTAAAGAATTTGTAGAACATTTAAAAAATGCTATCAATAAAAGAAAATCATTAAGAGACTTAAGGTCTTCTGTAATGAGCAATATTTCACCTGATATGTAATAATAATAGTTTTTTATTATTTATTTATTTTTAAAAATAAAGGAGTATTGCTAAGTTTGATTAAACTACTGAATCATTTTATGTAGGGGATAATGCAAGCAATACTAGAAAATAATCTAAAGCTATTAGATTTAATATTTGATTATTTTTTAATATAAGAAAAAAATTAATTTTTTTATTTCATAAATATTGTTATTATATTGATAAATATTTTTATTATTTTTAATTATTACCTAAAATATATTAAATTCTTTTCATTTATTTAAAAAAATCATAAATTTCAATAATTAATTATAGATTTTAATTTTTTTTATATATATTTATGTAAATTAATTTTTTCTATATACATATTATTTATAGATATTTCTGGATAATTTATTAATGCTAATGAAGTGCAAAAAATATAGAATAAATCGAGAAATAATAAAATTAAAAAATAAATTAAAATAATAGTAATTAAATATTTAAATAAAAATTAATATATATATATATATATATATATATATATATATATATATATATATATATATATATTTATATATATAAAAAAAAATAGCTTTTATAAATTTTAAAATTAAAATAATTTATAATAAAGATCTAACTAAATAATAATAAATGTCTAGTTGTCCTTTTTTTAACATAATAAAAATAGCATTTATTGTTTTAATGATGTTAATGACTACTGCGAGATTATGGGCATGGAAGAAATCCTAAAATGTTTTTGCTAAACAAAAAGATAATCAAAATAATTAATATATTTAAAAGTATTAAAACGAATAAGAATATATAAAAAATGAAGAAAACCTAAAATAAAATTTTTAAAATAATTGAAATAAATTATGTATGTTTTTAGTTGTTTATTTTGTAAAATATATTTTTATTTTTAGATATATTTCTTTTTATTTTTATTGTTTTTAAATTATTATGTAATTTGCATTATTTTATTTTTAAATAAAAAAATAATCAGAAATGTTAAATTATTTTTAAAATAAATTTTCTATTATAAATTTCTATTTAACAAAATCGAAATTTAATAGATATACTTAATATAATTGTAAAAATTTAGCAATTTTTGTATTATAAAATTAGAAAAATAGATATAGCAAAGGAATTTTATAATTATTTTTTCTTATGTTAAAATAAAAATAAAATATATTTAAATTTTAAAAAATAATTAAAATCTATATATAAACATTCTTAATCACAATTAAAGAAATAATGAAAAGAAAAATAAATAAATTTAAAAAAACTATTATATAAAATTAAATATTATTGGTTTTTGTTTTTTATAAATATTCCACTTAATTATATTAACTCAATTTAAATGGAATAACGTATTATTTGAGTTTTTATTAAGATCTATGTTTAAGCTTTAAATAAGTATATTATTTTAGCTTATTACTACATGTGGCTTTTTCATTACTTTATCTAATTATTTATAACCACAAACAACAATATAATCGACATTTGTTTTCCAATATTAATTTTAATATTTATTTTAAACATTAATATTAAGAGCATTTTCTCTAAATTTAAAAGTAGTTAAACAAAATTCTTAACCCTTTATTTTTATTTTTTTAAAATAAATATAGAAATTAATACTTTTTCATATTTAAATGATTCTCCATCATCCATGAAAAAGACTCCTTCAGCTTCTTATTTTTCATCTAGGCAAATAACGATATACATTGAACAGTTTTCCTTAATATCTTTACTAGATTTAAAACTCTTATTTTTAAGTATATTATAATATAAAATGACAGATCCTCCTCTAATATAGATAGGTATATGATTTATATCAGTAACACTATGCTTTTAAGATGTATCTGTAATTTAATAATGATTGTTATAATCGTACCAAAGTCCAGGTAAATTTCTCAAAAAAACTTAATTTTGATTTTCTTCGACAATAGGAGCAACTAAAATATTTTTTCCAAGCATATAAATCTATTCTTCATCAAAAATATTTTCTAATTCAGGATAATTCATCCATAAAGCTCTCATTACAGGCATTCCTGTTTTTACATGATTATAAAACTCACTATACCAATAAATCAAAAACTCATATCTGGTTAAAATTGCGTTTTTTATTCCTTACAAAGTATCGTCATCATATAGCCAAGGCTCTCTTCTTTCACAAAAAGTAGAACTGTGACCCCTAAAGAACGGTTAAAACGCACCTGCTTGAAACCATCTTATATGTAATTTATTTTCTGGATTTCCTTCAAAGCTTTTTTACATATAAAATTTAATAAAAAAAATATTTTTAAAAATTTTACCCTCCAACATCTCCTCCACAATAAGAAAATCCAGTTGTACTAAAAGAAAGAAGCATAGGATTATGAACATTTAAATAATTCCAAGTAGCTTCACTATCAGCAGTCCATATAGCAGCATATTTTTAAGTTCCCACCCACCATGATCTTGTTAAAACAAGAGGTCTTTATTACTCATTAGGAGAATCTCTATTTAATATACCTTCATAAGTAGCCTTTTTTAAAAAAAATATTATAATTTTTTTTAAAAATTACCTTAGATTAACAATAACCATAAAGATTATGAACAAAAGTGTGTGGAACTTAATATTCAGTTTATTTATTTTTAACATAATGGAGATTTTCCTTAGCCATTGTTTCTTCAATACCCTTAAAAACTGCAGGTTCGTTCATATCATTCCAGGCATGTACAATTCTTGATGTATGTTTATATTTTTCATAACTATATAAATTTTGCCAGAATTTCTATACATCTTAATTCAAAAAGTCTAACCAATTACAATCTCCTGGCCAACATTTTCCCACAAAATTAGTCACACCGTCAGGATTTTTTATAAAGAAATTAGGTTGATTATAACTTTCTGTATAGATAGAATAATCTTAGTCAATTAAAATATGAGGATCTGCAATAGTAACTAACTTTCTTCCCTTTTAATCTAGTTTTTTGATCATATCATCTACATTAGGATACAAAGCCTAATCAAATGTGAAATATCTTTTATTGAAGCAATGGTCTATATCTAAATAAATAACATCATAAGGAATTCCATATTAATCAAAATTCTTATCAACAGCTTCCACATCATTCTAATCTTTAAAACTATACCTGCAATGTTAATACCCTAAAGCAAATAATTAAGGAAACAGTGAAACTCCGATAATATTCGTAAATTTTTTATAAAATTTTTCTACTTTAAAATCCGCAAAAACAAGAATTTCCAAATCACCTTACTCACTAAACCAATTTACTTAGCTTTATTTTTTATTTTTCATTCTTTTAATATCTACGTATGTTTCAGATGAGTTTCTCCAAAAAAAGCCACCGATCATATCTTTAGTTTTAGTAACCAAAATAGGAGCTGTTCCATATAAACTTTCTTTAGAGCCGATAGGCCAACAATATCTGTCTAAATTATACAATCGATAAGGTTTATCGTGAAAGGTATCATCTAAATTATAAGAACCAGGATGTTCAGGAATTCCAAAAAGATATTAGGAATTAACTAATGTGGTACAATAAAGAAGACCGTCACAAAAAAATGAATTTATTTCAATAACTTCGATATTTTCCTAATAAAAAGTTATTTTCAAAGGGTTTATCTACAAATCTATAGTCATTTAAGGAGTCTTTATTTGCCATGAATTCACATTTTAAACTTCAATGTTTACATTAGAAAGGTTTTCATTTATAAGTTATATTTAACCAACAACATCATCTAATTAAAAGTTATAAATATTATTTACGTTTTTCGCTCTAACTTATATTATTCCATCTTCAAATATTTACATTTTTAATTGTAAGTCAGCAGATGGAGGTTAAGTTATTATAATTTCGAGTTAGTTCAGAGATTCGTTTTTAATTATACTCTTTATGATTTGGTTCGGATGAACTTATTTACGCATTAAATCCACTTATGACTCTGCCCATTTCTATTAAATTTATTTATATAAGAAAAGTTAATATATATTATACCATTTTTTATCTTATTTTTTAGATAATAAAAATATAATTTTAAAAATATATTCTTTTTTTTATTTTTAAAATAAAAAATTATAATAAAGGTCAAATTAAAAATATATTTTCCACAATTATAAAATTATTAATCTTATTTATTATAATAAAAAAAATATCTAATATTTAAAATAAAAAAAATATTTTATCAACTTTTATTTATATTTAAATCATAAATAAAATAAAAAAAGGTATTTATAATGATTTTATAAAAAATTTATATAATTGTAAAGTATTAAATTATAATACAATTTTTTAAAAATAATTGATATATATATTATAATATTGTTTTTTTAGTATTATATTAAATTTTATTTTTTAAAATTGTCGTTAACAATACAAATTACAAGATAAAAATACTTATTTTATATTAATATTATATATATATATTATTTTTAATATTGAATAAATTTCATTTAATTTATTTTATAAAATTAAAAAACATTATTAATTTTTTAATAACATTTTAAATACTTTATATAAATTACACAAAATTTGATATTATTTTTTTAAATATTTCTATATTAGAATTTTTTTATTTTTTTAATAATATAATCTTGTTAAAATATGCAATATTTCAGTAATTTATATTTATGCTTAGCTAATTAATAATATTTATGATTTTTATTTATTAATTTTATTAAAATACTATTTTAAATTGAGTTGTTTTATCAATATTATTGCTCTAAATTATTTAAATATATTTAAATAATTTGCAATTACTATTAATATCTATACAGAAAATGATTTATTGAATTATAATTATTACTTAATTTAATTATTATTTTTGAAAAAAATTAATTTATTAATTAAATTAACACTAATTTTCTGATTTTTTATATTCTTATATATTTAAAATATGAAATAAAATTTAACATAATAAATAAATGCTTTTTATTTAAATATTAAATTATATGTATTTTGTATCTATTATTTAGATATTTAGATATATTTTTTAATTTTTTATTTATATATTAGCAAATTATGTTAAAAGATTATATATAAATTTAATTTTAAGTTTTTATTTATATATGAAAATAAATATATATATAAGATAAAAACAAATTTAAATGTAAAATATTATAATAATATATTTTTAACTTAATAATAATAAAAAATATTTAAAATTATAATTAATAAGATATTTTTATTTATGGTAAATTTATAAACATTAAATTTGATATAATCTTCCTAATATACAGGTATACATGTTTATATAGAAAATACATTTATATATTTAATATTTTAGTAATATTCTTACATATTTTAAATTATTTATTCTAAATGTAGAATGTAAAGATAGGTTTTTAAAAATTTGCTAATATGTTTGTTTATATATGTCCTGGAAATAATAGAGTGTAAATTCATATAAATATAATAGCTACTATTTAATATATTGTAAAATAAACAAAAAATTTATATTTTAAAAAAATAAATATAAAGAAAAAATTAATGATTCTAGAAGATTATTAAGATTATTTAAAAGCTTAATAAATATTCCTAATATATTAGATTTGTTCTAACATTATAAAAAATAGCATAAATTTTCATAAATACTATGTTTAACTACAAACACATTTTATTTCTTTTTTTATTTATTAGATAATATTGCTATTTTATGCAAAATAAAATTCCTAAAACTGAATTATTAAAAATAAAAATCTTATTCATATATAATGTGGATAATTGGTTTAACTTCAGCATTATTATTTTATACAAATAAATTATATCAATCGTTTCAAAACGAAAAAAATTTGAAGAAGGAAATGCTCAATAATATGAGTCCAAGATAATTTTGTTTAATTTTATATGAAATTTCTGCAGAAAGAAAATAATATTCTATTAATTTAATAAGGATTATAGGAGATTTAGTTGTGGCCTTAGAAAAAAATAATATTCCTGCTTATGTATTTAAAACTCATTTTAATAATGGAATTACATCTTTCGGAGGATTAGTTTCTAGTATTATAGCCTTTTACTAATTTTATTAAAAGAATTTATAAATAATAAAAATATAAAATAAATAATGAATATAAATTATATAGTAAAAATATTTAAATATAAAATTTTAATTATAAAAGTAACATTTAATCTTGTTTTTAATTTTTCTATGAGAATCTTCTAAAATAATTAAAATTAATTAGAATTGATAATCATAAATATTTATATTAATTTTTGTTAATTATAGGATTTGTTAAATATCCATTAAATATAATTTTAAAAAATATAACAAAAAAATAAGTATTTAGAATAATAAAATATCAAAATATAATATATTAATATTGTATACATACATATATGAATTCACATATATTTTTTAAGAAATAAGAAATATAATTTAAATTTATTAAGTTAAAGGAATTATACAAATTATTTACTTTTTCATTTTTTAAATAAATAAATATTAATACTTTGAAATAAAATTAACAAATAAATGAAAATAATTAAAAAAAAGTTTATTTAGTAATAATTATTTTTATTTTTAAATTAATCAATATTAAAATTTTATTTATAGTATTTATTAAATTCAGCCGGGTGGCGCAATGGTAGCGCAGCAGACTTCTAATCTGAAGGTTGTGGGTTCGAGTCCCACCCTGGTTGCCATATTTTTTTAAATCATAAAAATTGAAGGAAATAATTTGATTAAAATAAATTTAATGTAAAGAAATAAAATTATTTTTATATTACAAAAATTTAATGAAATTATTTTTTATAATGAATTTAATTTTATGGAAAGAAATAAATTCAATTAATATTTTTTTTAAATTTATGTTTTTTAACAAAATTATAATATATAAGAATAAAACTTTCATTTATTTTATATTTAATCTTATTTTAAAATCTTTATATATATTAATATCAATAAATATCTTATTCTTAGTGTAATTTTTCATTTGATTTTTTTTAATTAACAGCTTTGTTTTAAATTTTTATAATTAAAATATTTAAAAGTATAACATGTTCATTTATTATATTATTTTTTCTGCAATTTTTTTAAATAGATCTATCTAAATATTTATTTTAATCTATTTTCTCTCTCATTTTTTTTATTGATTGATTAAGTTTTTAAAAAAATAAAAATAAAATATGGACAAATAATATTTCATTTTAAACACAATACTTTATGAAAGAATAGTATATTAAAAAGAAAATAAGAAAAACAAATAAAATAAAATTTAAAACAATCATTATAATTATATTTAAATTATTTTAATTAGTGAAAATCTGATAAAATATATAAAAAATTTTAAATTTAATATTTGCTTTTTTTGAATAATAAATTCATAAGCACTTTTTTCTTAAAAATTTTTTTCATTCTAATATTTATTATAATATTAAAATGTTTTGGTAAGTAATATTAAAAGATACTATATCTTAATAATAAATTTAATATTTATTAGTACATAATTGAAAGCCCTAAAATATATAATAAAAAATAGAAAAAAAACTTTAAAATTGTCCTTATAAATATATGATATTTATTTATAATTAAGCTTATTATCCTAATTTACCTATCTTTTAAAAGCTTTTACAAATCAAGGTCAGCTGAAGTATTAATTCACTTTAATATAGAGGTCATTTAAAATATTACTATTTAAAGAATACCTAAAAATTTTTGATGCTTAACTTTTCCAAATAGAATTTCAAAGTATTAAGTTATTATGAGATTAGTGAAAACAAATTTATAGGTCTTTTAATAATTAATATAATATATCGACTTATATTTATCATATTTATTTGTTTAATTTTTTAAACATTTTCAAATAAATATTTTTATTTATTTATATTTACATTATTCTAGCTCAATTTTTATTATGTCCATAATTAAAAAAAAAAATATTCTTCTTTAAAATTTTTCAAAGTTTAGCAATTTTAAAAAGGAAGAAAGAATTAATTTAAACAATATATGATTATGATAATGGATTAATTTTCATCTATTTGATTTTAATATTTAATTTATTATGAATATTCTTATTTTTAAATTCTAATTAGTTATTTTACAAATTTTATTCATTTATATAAATTTTCTACTTAAACTGAACAATGATTAAGTATAAAAATATAAAATAATAAATATTTTTTATTCCATGTTTCCTCATAAATAATTAAATTATGTCATCAAAGCTCTGAAAATTTCAATGTATTTAGGACCAATAAAAAGCCGAAAGTTCCCTATCTGATTCAATAATTTAATATGATGATTTTTGTACATTTTCCTCGATAATTGTATAAATAACAGGATTTTAACCCTTAAGAATAAGAACTTAAATTTTTTATATATTTTCTTTATAATAAAATATATTAAAATTTTAGATATTTTTTTTTCTGAATCATTATTTTCTAAAAAAATCTAAAGTATATAATTTAATAGAAAATTAATAATAAGTAATAAATTAATATTAAATAAAAGAAAAATATATATTAAAAAAAAAATTATAAATAATAAATATTAAATAAATTAAATTTATTTTTATATTCATTATTATTTTAATATTATTAAAATAATTAATATTATAAATATAATGAAAATTTATTTTTCATAAAATTAATAATAATTATATTTTAACTTAATAATAATACAATTTTGATTTTTGATTTATTGATAATTTTTAAATTTAAAAAAATAATATAAATTAGAAATAATAAAAATAAACTTATTATTACTCTAAAATTTTTTATTATTTTAATGCTATTTTTTCAATTATTGTTTTTTACAGATTTTATATTTTATTAAATAATTTTAAATTAACTTTATTATAAATAAGAACTAGAATGA